TTTAAATGATGAGCACGTTTCGTTTTTATTATGAAATGTTGTTGTTATTTATGTAATTCTCTAATATAAAAAAAATATTAATATTCAATAATATCAATATGCATTCCAGGAGAATGTATCACTAATTTAGTTAAGTAATTATGTCTTTTTAAACAATGGTGATTGATTGCTCTATATACTATAGTTCAGAGAGAAGTATCTTATGACCTTAAATCGTATACGAGATATGCTACGACAAAGGATACAATGAATATTACACAAAAGTTTAAATAGAGAGCGCCTATTGAAAGTATTAAAATCAAAAATAATCATTAAGACTTATTAACTTGTTAAAAGGACTTCAGCAAACCTAATCTAGCTTTATGTTATAGATACATAAATACATCTTTATATTTTCTATATGTTATATTATCTATATAAATATAAATAATTACTTCGAAATAATTTCATAGATTCTTCGTATAACCGCTTTAAAAATTCTTGTTGTAACTACTCCGATATTAATATATGTCAGTAGATTAAGTCGTTGTTATAGCTGAAGTAGTATTCCGATCGTTACGAGACAGACTTGGCTCGCCTTCCTTTTGAATAATCAAACTCCAATGAAAAAACAGGAAGTGACAATAACAAACACCCGTTTGTGTTTAAAACCTATGGACCTACTGGCTGTTATTTATCTCACCGAAATCAGCGAAGAATGTGCTTAGCAATTATTGAAATAAATCTTGTGTTGGTTGAACACGAAGATTTGTAATGCTGCTAAAGAAAGACTTATGAAAACCTTGAAAATTCAATATATGATTTTCAGAGTTTCTCCGACTTAAATCCGATTCACATTTCCTACAAGCAAACGCGTGTGCACGGTCCTTAGAGGGCGCTGTTCAATATTAAATATTGTAACTTATGCCAAAATGCACAGAGCCTTAATCGGTATAAATGTTATCCAAGTAACAAAAAAAAGTCGAATAAAACGATAAGTAGCTCCCTTCAGAAGACGATTGCAGAAATATGGTGAATGATAGATTAAAAATCCTTGGATAAAAAAAATTCCAACACACAATCTCTTGGTTTGTCAGTTTACAGTAACTGCATATCTTTCTATTGCTCTCTATGTAGCAAATAAATTTATATTGATAGAGTGGAAATAAAGAACTGTCTACAAATAAAAGACTAGTGTACTGAATATATTTCCGGTAAATACCTGCCTACTTATACAACTAACTGTAAGAAGAGTATTGAAACTTCTATAAGATCAAAGCGATTTTTTTCTTGTAGTTTTATATTACATAAATTATATGAAAATATATAAATTAACAATTAAATTTGTTTTTCAAAAAACGTGAATAAATAATAAATCATTAAGATTGTTCTTTGGGAATCAGGTAGAATCTTTACCCGAATGAGAAACCCAAATGAGGTTTAAAGCATAAATAAAAATACTTTTAATAGATACAAACCTTTTAAACCTTTAAACATAAATACATGTGATTTGATAAATTGAATTAATGCACGCTTGGATGCTTTAGTTAAGTTAAGCAAAAATATTACGAAAAAAATATGTATCAAGAAAGATTGTGATTTATGTATTTTAAAAACGACAAAAGTCACACAAAATAGTGACGTCAAAACTTTACATATTTATGTATCTGTAAAAAATGAAACAACACGAAAAAGCACAACTTTTAAAAATGCCATATGCCGCCTCAGAGAATTCCTCAACAATTGAAATAAAATAAAAAAATAAATAAACTTGAAGATATTTTCAGGTTAAAAAAAATTTCTCAGACCTGTCAAGATATCAAAAAAGACCAGAAAACAGACTGAGTAAATGTTAAAACAATAAACAAGTATGTGAAAAGTAACATTAAATCTATTTAAATACAATATTTACAATTTTTTTACTCATCGGTAAGTATTGAAAATAGCCGGTTCATTATCTGCTAACTCATAGATACTTGTAACTTTAGATTGCCAACAACAATAAATTTTTTTGATAATTATTAAACTTGAAACGTCACATTGTCACGATGTGAATTTTTGAGGGCCTGAGCATGAGTGTCTGCGTCCATAAATAATTATTTTTGATAATTTACAATATTTTTATGAAGTGCCATGCATGTTAAATACGTCACTTATATAAATAAATTTTACAGAAATCTTTATTAATAATGACGAAATACTCTATATTGTGAGTATTAAAATGTGTTTTAATGCTAAGTGAATATTTCTAAGGAAACCACAAGATTAGTAATTGAGAATAAATAATAAATAAAATATTTGAATAGTGATTATATGAAAGCGCTACAAATTTTTTGTTATAAAAACTCCGATTTTTCAAGCAATATACATATAAAGTATACTATATAAAAATTCATATATTTGCAACTGCACTCAATGAAAAATTTTAAGACATATAACATTGTAACGCTCTGTGCTCAGTTACTAGTGAAAAAAATTTGTGATAATATTTTAAGTGAAATTGATAGTAAAGTGTAATCAAAATGAAGTTATATCGATGAAGATATATAGTTTTATTTGTTTATACCGATCTTATATAAAAATAACCCATAAAGATATCAGACTTATAGCAGTCTTTCATAACTGTAAGGTAAGTGTTTAAGATCTGCTTTACTATTACACGCCCCAGCAAAAATTAAAGATGCACAGAAATTACCTTTTAGAGGATCTTAATCAGCTTAATCAGGTCATTGATAAGATGGTTTAAACTGCCCTTGCTATATATAGTAACACAATGTATCACCAGCTACATTTTCAGTTTCTGTGTTTTATTAATAATGTACTTATACCCCTAATAAAATTTTGTATCTAAGTAAATATTGCATGAGAAAATATCTTTTAATTTTTTTTCCCAGAAAAGTAATTTAAGTTTTGTGTGTGTCAAACTAACCAGTAAACATAATTCTCTATTCATTATATTTATGTATTTTTATCAATTTCATATCAAACACAACTTATTTAAATATTTAAATTGCTAATGAAATGCAAAACAGCAGCACGACTTAGCCAGCTCAGTTCAAGTCTCAACTGATGTCATAAAACAGGTGCTAATAAGCTAAACTTGAAATAACCTACAAACTTGGACTATAAAAAATGATAACGTTGAAAGCAATAACAATAATATGAATTCAATTATAAATATAATAATAAAAAACTGATTTCCAATATAAAAATTAATTAAAATATTAAAAACGCGGTAAAAATTCTTCTTCACTCATGAATTTTATAAAAACTAAACTTAACGAATAATTAAAAATTTATAAATTTATGTTATTTAATTTTTCTTTCCGCAAAGCATTTTTTGAAGTCACACCTACATTAGGAATAACATCAATCAATACATAAAAATCAATCAAGACTTTTGTTTACTTTGAATAAAAACAATAAATTATGGAAGAACCTAAACTCATAAGTAGCTACTTCACAGTTGGTTTAGGCTACTTAAGTGTTTGAGATTTATTGAGCATTAGGATTGGCTTAGCTTTGATTGACTGCTAATGCCTATATTTTTTTGTTTTATTTTTTAAATTATTTTTCGTTACTTACATCAAAATAAACCGCAAACTCATCAAATAAA